CCGCGAAATACCTCACCCATTTTGAATGGCTGCATCTGTACTTGACTGAAAAAGCTTTAGAGAACTTAACATTTTTATTATCAACAAATTGTAAATATGATGTTTACATTGGCGTTATTAATTTTTCACTTAAATGTATGGAGGAGTGTCAGCTGCCAATGAGAGCAGACCCGTCCTCTTAGGCTGGGCAAAGAATTTTTTCCTGCAATGTGTTCCTGCTTAACGTAGACATTGCATGACTTTAAAAGCTATAAAAACAAGTTTCGATAGTTAATAACCACTTTTTATGCGCAAACAAAAACGGGTGATTTTTTTTCCTCGTCATCAGATCTTTCTTGGAAAAATGTCTTGTATGTGTTGTAAAAAACTGACTTGCTTTAACAAAATATATTTACAAATCCTTTCGCTTGGCAATCTACCTGAATGCCCAACTATCTAAGAAGCCCTCCTTGAAACCATGTTCGCTGACAGAATTGGTGTTTTTTATGCGTGATAATTTTCTGATTCCTCACTCTCTGACAAATCTATTTCATGTTTGCATGTTCTTTTGTAATGCACCTTTCTGTGATTTTTTTTGTACATCTAAGCTTTTGCACGTATTCCTTCATCCTTCTTCTCCACTATGTCTAGTCATGGCTTTTTTCTGTTTGTTTATTTCCATGTAACACCTGCTCTATTTCTAAAACTTTTTGTACATGTGCATTTTTGTATTATTTACACCTCTAGCACTTTAAAATCCTTAATTTTCATTTGCCTTAATTTGTAGACTGAATTTTAGTTCTAGTCTTAAAAAGGTTGTTTTCACTATCATTTGTTTCTTGTCCTACAACTATTATTATTGATCACCGAATTATTGTACTTGACTTCTTTCATTCACCCTTTCCTGAACAGTTAACAGTGTAAACATATGATATTGTGATATTTTGTGCTCTCGTTGAATGATAAGTGTCGCATAGTTTAAATCATTTTCATTCTTAGAAATTACGAAACGCTTGGTTAAAAGCAAGGGAGATTATGTCTAGAGTTTGCTGCAGCATTATTGGAAACCCAATTTTAACAACAAAGCGCTGGAGTGATATCCTAGCAGGCACTGAGATCAGCTCCAGTAGGAGCACTCCTGCAGCAAAAAATAAAATACCTGACGAACTAGGGATTTAACAGTTTTTCAATGCTTGTGCAATCGATGGAAATGTTCAAATAAATGTGCTAAAGAAATAAAGAAAAAAGCCATTTATTCCTTTATCATATTGGCTAGTGTCAATAATATTTATTATCAGTAATAATATCAGTAGCAGTTAAATTATTCATTGTTATTAATAAATGACTTCGCTTCGAACATGTTATGATATTTAGAAATATAATACCTCACTCATTTTGGATGGCTGCATCTGTACATTTGTTAAATCCCTCGGCTCCTGGATATTAAGTTTGGCATCTTTTCCTTAATTAAATTATTGCCCTAGATCTGCTTTTACTTAAGCCAAATTTCCTATTTAAATTCAGCTAGCTACCTTATTTCAGATACAATTTGAAAATATTAGCACATTTATCCCCATTTTATTTTTTTCTGCATAATGTTTTTGCTAAACATTACGGGATAAAAAATGACACTTCTAGTAGAATCATGAACATACAAATTAATGACAAAGCTACATTTAGTTACTGTTATGTATATATGGTCTGGATCAGAGATCAAATCAGTATGTATGTTACTGAGGACAAACATGATACAGTAGAATCACAAACTCCAGAATAACTGGCAAAGCAGTAATGAATGCCTTGGAATTCTGCAAACTGCACCTGATAGCTTAAGAAGTACACCTGAATGTGAAGTTAGTTCTATTTTAAAAGGCAATACAATCCAAGAGGAAGTAGAGAGACTCACCGTGTAGATGTTCCAGGGATGGGACGTCCAGTATCCACCAAGACACACCAGCAGTAACCTGTGGACTGGTGGCATTGGACAGGCTTGTAGAGACCTCCTGGACCACACTCGGGGATGAAAATGGGTTCTCGTGGGTTCTGTCGTGTCTCATCCAGGGCAGTCTGTCTCTCGTGGTCACAAGAAGGAATTTTCTCTAAAATCATTAAAATAATTCAGAAATTTGTGGCAAAAGTGAAATTCTAGACAATATATAGTTGAACAATATGGAGGTGATTCAAAGTGATAAATTTAGTTAGTTAGCCCTGAAACCGGAAACAGCATTCCTTAAATTAACGCATTTTTTTAAGAAAGTCGAAGATTCTTTATATAAGTTTTTATGCTTACATGTCCTCTTTTACTTACAGTAGATGATTAAATTAAAAAAAGAATGAAACAGAAGTCTGCACGTTAAACTGGAAGACAGCCCTGACCATGAACATAAAGCATCAATATAAAACTGGTAATACCTGTTATTAAATGTATTAATTGTTGCTTGTTGTTTTTTTTATTAGTTGTTAATTAATTGTTGATTGTTGCTTGTTTTTATTGTCTTGATTGGTGTCTACTAAGCATTCCATCAGAAGAAATTAGTAAAATGACTTTTTAATACTGATTCTGAGAAAACAAAGCACAGAAGAAGTGGCAGAGAGCAAATTGTCAATTCAAAGAAACCCACATACAAATCAGTTCCCAGTGTTAATGCAGCAGTCCAGGAGATGAATCAGGTAACAATCAATATGTCCTTAAAGGCACTTGTCCGAAATGCATAGTTCTTAAAGAGTCTTGAGTGATGTTTCCCTAAAAATGTCACAGAGACCTTTTAAAACGCTAACCTTTATCTCTTACAAAGCATTGGCTCAAACGTTTTAAACATAACAAATATAAAGAAAGTATATACTGTACAACTCTGGTAATACAGAATACCAAGCATGGCGGAGAGCTTGTGGCAAGAAAGCCTGTAAAGTGCCTTGAGTGGAGTGTCCAGAAAAGCGCTATTTAATTGTAAGGAATTATTTTTATTAAAATGTAATGTGTTTTTTTGTCCTATTGAAAGGAACTTCTGAGCTACAATTGCTCCTGAGATATAGTGCCTTATTTTTCAGGTCATCACATGACTGTCTACAAGGAACTTTACTGGTAGGATAACAGGATGACGACACTTGCAATTTGTCTTCTCAGTCTGTGTAGAATGGATGTTTTCCATTTGAATACCAGTATTTTTGTGCTTTTGTGTGAATATTAAAATTAAATCTGTTTTCTTAATTCAAAGTGCAAATATGTTGCCAGACAAGGAAAAATGGTTTACTATGCAATGGATTATTAGGAGTCTTCTTATAGCATTTCTCAAAGGTGGGAGAGATGTTTAAGGGACACATTTTCAATTGATGTTTGTAACATGGAAAATGGAAAATTAATCTGTCAATAAAACAACTATTAGGCCAGCTAGGGAGCAATAAGCAGATAGCTCTTTTTAAACATGCACATGTCCTCTCCTGGAGTGACTGCCTGTGTGGACTTTATGTCTCAAATGTTCTCTCTCCCACCTCCTTGCAACTTGTTATGAGTGATTGTGTGTTGTGACCCAAATCAGGACATTAACTTAATTCAATGCAATGAATTGTATATATCTTACACATTTTAATAAAAATGATTTTTGTTAAATATCTGATGCTTACCTAATACAAATGGAGATGCATAATACTGTTGAACACTCCCTGTGACCTACAGATCCAGCCATTCAGAATGCACACTGGATAATGTGCATGATTTTGGAACACTACCAATCTTGTAGGCAAAGGAAAGCATGATAGATAACAAAAAAATATTTAAGGACTGTTCTAGGTTAATTTGAGAAAAATACACTGAGCATCTCTGTGTTTTGGTTCCATGCGTATGAAATAAAAACTTCTTTTAACTTCTGAGACAGACTCCTTTTTAAGAGGATACAGGGAAAGATTTCTTCAACAGCGCCACATTCGCCAACAGAACAATTGATAGAAAATGAATACCTCACAAAATCAAGTATTATGTCACGGCTGAAAGGAACAGACGCCAAGGGTACTGATGCCAGCTCCGAAAGATCACCACAAGGCCTTGGCAGTCAAGAAAATGCCTGAGAATTTAAAATCTATGTTAGACTCTGCTGTTAAATTTGTGAATTGTATCAGGGCTCGACCAATTAATTTACGTCTGTTCAGTGTACTTTGTAATGAAATGTGCAGCGAAGTGCAGATTTTGCTACATACTGAAGTGAGATGGTAATCAAGGGGCTCTTTGAACTGCACTCCAAGGTACAGATATTTTTGCATGACCAGCAATCTCCCTTGCCAAGTCTATTTGTTGATCCAGTGTGGCTGGTAAAATTAGCCTACCTGGCTTATATATTCTCATGCTTGAATGGGCTGAATATGGGACTGCAGGGGATCTCTTTAACAATTTTTGACGTGTCTGACAAGATCACTGCTATGGAGAAAAAATTTTAATAATTAAATCAACACAAGTAATGTCTCTGCTTTCCCAACTTTGGAGAACCATCTGCACACATATGGTGTGGCACTTGATGTTCCTGTTCGTGATGTGATTGCAGTGCACTTCTTGTCATTGAAAGAACAGTTCTCAGAGTATTTTTCCAGTTGAGGCCACACCAGAGTGGATCAGTAACCCTTTTACTATTGATGTCATAGGAATGCCCAAGGATTTGACTTGTGCTGAACAAGAGAAGTTGCTCGAGTTATCATCTGATGAGACTTTGATGTCAAATTGAAACGACTGGATTTCTTTGGATTTCTAGATCCAAAGACAGAGTGAATACCAAGCCCTCTCATTAAAGGCTATGTGGGTTTTGATGCCTTTTGCCACTACCCACCTTTATGAGAAAGGCTTTTCTGCTCTCACTGCAATCAAGATAAAGTACTGCAACAAAATGGATGCAGAGCCAGATCGCTCACTGCCCTCATCCTTGACATTGCAAGGCTTTGCTCAACTAAACAGGCTGACCCCTCTCACTGAAATGGTAAGTTCTCAGTGCTATTTTTATGTGTGTGCTGTGTGTGTGTGAGCGAGCACTCATGTTTGTCATTTCGATTTTCTTTGATTTTCAAGATGACTTGTAGATGGTACTTGGATGGTTTGTTTTGATCAGGGGTGGTACTTGGTCCAAAACGTTTGAGAACGTTTGAGAACCACTGGGCTAGAAAATATCTGGTTTCAAATCCCAGTCAAGGCAGAACCCCCTGGGACAATCTTTCCAATTACAGAATTGTAGTTGTTAGTATAGACGTTTATTCATTTTATACTATATATAAAAAAATACCCTCGGGAGGGGGATCAGAATACTCCTGGGTATCCCTGCCTGTCGTAAGAGGCGACTAAAAGGGTCGTGTCAGGAAGGGCATCCGACGTAAAACCATCTTGCCAAAACCATGGTTGCAAAGAACACAAAGCACATACCGGATCGGTCGGGGACCGGGTTAACAACGGCCGCCATTAGTGCTGTGTCCCAACAGGGTACTAATGGAAATTATGCTACTGTGGGGAAAACTGTAGAGTGGGGGCTACAGAAAAGAAACAAGGTGAAGGGGCCTGGAAGGAATGTTAAGTCAATGAGAGTGGGGAGTTGGAATGTTGGTACCATGACAGGGAGAGGGAGAGAATTGGTTGAAACTATGGCAAGGAGAAAAGTGGAGATCTTGTGTGTGCAAGAAACCAAGTGGAAAGGAAACAGCTCAAGACACCTAGGAGAGGGATACAAGATTCTATATGCTGAAAGAGTACAAAAATGAATGGAGTGGGTGTGATAGTGTGCAAAGACCTAGCAGACAAGATAGTGAGGGTGGTTAGACACTCAGACAGGATTATCAATGTACAGATGGCTTTTGAGAGTGGGTTGTGGAATATCATCTCTGTATATGCACCAGAGGTAGGAAGACCACAGGAGGAAAAGGATAGCTTCTTGGAAGATCTCGAAGAAGTGGTTAGCAGAATCCCAGGAAATGAAATGGTGGTAATTGGAGGAGACTTCAATGCACATTTAGGAGAGAAATGCCCACATTATCCAGATGAACATGGTCAGAGAGGGCTAGGAGAGAAAAAAGAAGGAGGAAGGCTACTAGAAACACTCCAAGCTCTTGAATTGTTTGCAGTGAACACAGGGTTCATGAAGAATTATGAGCAAAAGGTGACATACAGGAGTGGAGGCCATGATACCCAAATAGACTACATATTAGTGAGAAGAATTGATAGAGCGAAAGTCCAAGATGCTAAAGTCCTGCCCTATGAGGCTGTTACCAGACAACACAGGCTACTGGTGATGGACATCACAATATTGAAAGAGCGAAGAATAAGGCAGAGGAAACACCCAACACGAACAAAAGTGTGGAAACTGAGAGAAAACAAAGTAGATTTCAACAGACTGGTGAGAGAAATGAAAAACAACACACAGGAAACAGAGGAGCCTTCAGTTGAAGAAGAGTGGACTGAAATGAGCCACATCCTAGAAGAGGCTGCTACCAGTGTTTGTGGAAAGACAAGAGGAGGCAGACCGAGGGAAAATGAAGAGTGGTGGTGGGATATGGAAGTTCAGGAAACACTGAAGGAAAAGAAAAAAGCATACAAGGCACTGAAAGATGGCACTGGAGAATTACAAGAATATAAGAGACTAAAGAAGGTAGCAAAAAGAAGTGTACCAAGAGCAAAGGAAAGAGCCTGGAAAGAATGGTATGAGAAACTTGAAACAAAGGAAGGAGAGGACCAAATCTACAAGATTGCTAAACTTAGAGCGAGGCAGAAAAAATATATTATCCGGGTGGGAGTACTCAAGGATGGAGAAGGCAGAGTCTTGATTAAAGAAGAAAAGATCAAGCAAAGATGGCTGGAGTACTTCAAAAATCTGTTAAATGCAGAAAATGAGAGGGAGAACCTAGTGGAGGCAGACGTAGTGTGTGGACCAATCCGTTAAATTTCAGTAAAGGAAGTGACAGAAGCTATCAAAGAGATGAAAGTGGGCAAAGCAACTGGACCATCAGGAATAGCAGCAGAACACTTTAAGAACCTCGATGAAGAGGGGATTCAGTGGCTGACAAGATTGCTAAACAATATTGCAAAGGAAGAGAGAATTCCAGAAGAATGGACAAAAAGCAGTATGGTTACCATCTA